GCAGGTATACAGCCCGCAATTGTGTTGTTATAAGCAGACTAACAAATGTACTAATATGGAACCCATCCAATCTAGAGCCGACGATGCTGCCACTGAATTATGAACGGATTTCAGTGTCGAATTAGTAACAACAAGACAATTATATTACAATATATAGCTTAGTATGGCCAATAATTGTTGGCGTTGGAAACCAAAAAAAAACACAACTCATAAATAATGAGAGCTTGTGAGAAAAGGTCTCAGATAATTACACCTTTAACTTGATGCATGGCAAATCTTAAGTTAACATCTGTCTATAATAAATTAAACAAAATTGGATGGTAAAATGTGTGAGACAAATTGTGGTATAAGATTGGGGTAATCAGGCATAAACATGTAAGTAGGTCAAGGAATAAATATTTCTGAAAAAAAAAAGAAACAGCAATTTGATTTTAAATTCGAAAAAATATCAATAAATGTGGATGAATAGAGTCTATTTCCCATTTATTTTAAATCTAAGTCAATGTCTCAAGTAAATATTTATATTTCTATTGCAACAAAAAACTGATTTTGAAATGGGAAATTCAAAAATATACTGGAAATAAAATTGAAAGATTAGAAATAAATTAGCCTTTTGCTTCAGAATTTAAATTCGGAAGATGTTCATAAATATATATGAAGTGTGAGTATCATGATTAAATTCTAATTGAAGTTTATTGATCATTTTTATTAAGTTTAATTATTTTATTTCTACTTTAGTATAATTTTTTAGTTTACTAAAATATGTAATTTTGCAATATGTAATTTTGCTCCACTTCGCCAGTAAAGCTAGTTGGCAATGACGATGTTAGCCTATAAATGGCAAATGACTTTGTCTACGTCAACTTTTATTTCAAACACATCAAAAAAGTATTATGAGTGTATAAAAGTTGCTAAATTGTGCCCACACTTTCGTTCACGCGAGTATTTCCAAATGAATTATTCAATCCAATGGATGCGGAACAATAAGTTTTTCTTTTATTTCAATAGAAAATGTATCTTTTGAGAAAATTATGAATAAAACAGAATAGTTATTTGTCGCTATCTCGAATGAATATTAAGTATTGACAACAAATACCACACAATTAGCAAACAAGGCAAATGGAAACTCACACGGGACATGAATGCATAATTATGGTATGTTTTCTTTTTATATTTTTAACACACTCAACAATTTTCGAAAATGGCAGAGAATGGTTGAAATGGATATAAGTATGAAAAACAAAATTTTTTCTTGCAAGAATGAAAAGGGTATGGCATGCTGGAATAAATATCAAGAAGTATGTTTTAAATATATGTGCACAAAACTGATGTGAATTTATTTTGAGTATAGGCGATCTAAGCAAAAACAAAAGAAGCAGAAAAAGACGCAAGAAAAATGCTACTATACGACGAGACGGCTAATTGTCTTCAGAATCCATACCCATTTCATGCAATTATCTTTTCATGCTTATCTTCAGTTCACATACTATTTTGTAACATTTTTGAATTTTTTTTTTGAGTTTTTTCTTTGCGTCCGAGTTTCGAAAGTGCCAGGAAAAATTGTTGGCCGAAATACGCAACATTCAAAATGAAAATACACACTTTTGCTGTCCGTTCGCTTTCAATAATTTGTCAACTTTTATTTCCCTAGAGAAATAATCTATCTTTTTTTTGTTGCATTGAAGGAATGCACGGGAAAGGCAGCGGAGGGATTCCGAAAAGCTTAAAAAATTGCTGAAACGGTTTCATATGTGCTCGATAGTGTTACTTATTGAATCATGAAAAACAATTACCGAAAACAAGGAATTCATCACAAAAATAAATGTTCAATAATGTTTATAATCCAAACTGTAAATCGTATTGCTGTTAAAGGTTTAGTTATAAATCTTTAAACCAATAGAAGAAAATAATGGAAGACAAAAAATCAATGATCTTTATAATTGAGTTGCACATTTCACCTGCTCATAAAACTGAAAATTATTATACATATACACTACAGTAACTCATAAAATCGAACATTGCAATAAATTTTATTGCTAATCTAGATGTGAAATAGAAAGTGGGTTTTTTTGCGAAAAAAACGGCAATGAATAGGGCCGTAGAATGGGGTTTGAGCTCTCGAAACATGTGTCCAAAATTGAAAAAAAAAACCACGCAAAGTTCCGTAAAACAATAAGAGATTTATATAATACAATATAAATTAAACTTTAAATGTTGCATTGAAGCAAACTATCTAATTATAGTAGATTATTCCTTAATCGTAACGCAAAATCACGATAATTAGCTGAATGTGTCCGTCGATATATATTTGCGGTAAAAATGTAGAATATAATAACTAATTAGGAAGTTTTACGTAAATTGATTGTTTTCATATGATTGTTTGAACTGCAAACTAATTATATAAATAAAAACGAGCACAATGAATGGTGTATTTTTGGAAAACAATTCCTCGGAATTCTTTGACTGACTTGTTGTTCAGAACGAAAAAATGCTAACAATTTTGATGACTGAGTTAGGTTAGTTATAAAATAAGTTATGTTGTTTGAAGAAAAAGAATCATTCTTTGTAGACTTTCAATTTTTCTCTAATTGAACGCAGTTTTAAGCAACTGAAATAATATAACAACGAAAAAAATGAGGGAAGGTCAGTAACATAGTCGAATTTGATTGGGCGAAACGTAACGTGTCGGCCACACGCCCGAGACAATTTTTTGAAACTCGAGTGGTTCTTTTCGCTTTATTTTTTCTTCAAAACTTCGACTTCTTTTCCATCTTCTCTTATTTTTGACGTCTCATTTCTGCGCCACGCATATTCACATTTCGGATATGCTTTGGAACAAGGTATATAAGACGTCGGAAAGGAATTTAAAAAATATTTTCAAATCAATGGAAAATCTTGGTAATGTTTACTCTTTTTGCTAAAGAAAATAAATTTGCGAGCGGATGGAGTTTAGAGCAATGTACCACTAAAAAACAGAGAGGTTCATTTTGCTAAAAATGTTCCTACGAAGGAGAGATAAAATTATCGGTACGGAAAGAATAACAATAACAATTCATATACGCATATTCCGAGATCTGGTTATATATTTACTTTCGTCCGTTTAATCGAAAAAATCAGATTTTAAAATAGATGAAATGAAATATTGGTAAGGAAACTTTTAAAAAATCGATGTTTGATTTTCTTCGAATTTGAAGAATTCATAAGAACCATAATATTAACAATTTCTTCAGTTATTAATGACATAATTTTTGATAAAATAAAGGAATTTCCTGTTTGTATTAATAATATTCATTGATCTGATGTGATTCGTAAATCAAGGTTGTTTTCTTATTTTCAGTAAAATCTCTTGCATATGTTTTTGCCTATTGGAACACATAATTGAAACAATATGGACTAGAAAAAGAGCAAGAAAAGGCCGAAAACGTTTGTTGTCGTCGGAAGAAACGCTTGAATTATTGGCATCAATTGACACACTAAGCCTTCAACAGAATTGTCGCCTTTGGTCAATTAAAAAGAGACGAAATAAAGAATAAAATATCAGATTGGACCAAAAATGTGCTAAAGAGCTAAATAGAAAGAGACGACATAAGCTCACATTTTTGTTCCGGTTGTGAATACGATAGGCGTGGTTCGAAAAGATTATTTCATTACTGGCAATGCTTCATCTTCTTTGTTCGGTAATTCTTTTAGAGTTTTTTTTTTTTAAATTCTTCTGCTGTTTTCTGGTTTTGTTCTGAGAAATATTTTGACGACTATTGCACTCGTCTTCAAGCTCATTCGCATTTTCCGGCATCGCCACGGATTCATTTCCGCGATATTTTTCTTTGCATGCTCGAAAGTGAATGAAACGACGATAAATAGGATGAAGTCGAAGAAGAATGAGAAAACATTCTCTACACTGTGCACTTTTGTTCAGGATGTGCCGTAAATTGAAAAATGGGCACTCGAAAAGTCAAAAACTCATTTCATTCAGCTTGTCGTACGGATACAAAAAAGTTGACAATCTAGGGATTATCAAGGGATCTTACAGAACAACAGGAACTGAAAAATAATAGATAATTTTAAGGAAAAACTCATTATTTATATTATAATCACTCTGCAACGTTTGCAAAGAAAACAGTCTTAAACAAAAAACATACGAAAGTAACGTGAATATTCAAGGTTGCCTTAAATCTCCATAGAATGAAAATAAAAATTGAGATTAATGAGAAAAAACAACGGTCATGACTTTTTATTAGAAATGATTACTGAAAAAAGAACAAATTGGAAGCTTCACATAACAGAATTGTATGTTTGAAAAGATTTCAACATACATATAAAATTTGATTTGCTCGTTTTGTTACCGTACGGTAGACAGAAGGGACGTACGCGTATAAAAAATGAAACCAAAAATTGAATAGTTTTGAAAAGCTTAGATGCTTAACTGGATTATAAATGCCTCATTCAACATCGATGCTAAACAACGTCTCATTAAACATCGGTTACAAATATGTGTATTTCGTGGTTTAACAAAAAATAGCAAACATTGCCAACTAACATGAAGAATGTGGAAAGAAATGGGTTCGTAAAGCGTTTGTTCACTATAAACTTTGATTATTAAATTATAATTGTCACGTCTCACGTTAACGTTTAAATAACGACATTGCATTATTGAAAATTCGGAATTTCCCTCATTCAGAAATCGTTATTAATATAGTTTTTTTTTTCAATAGCTAATTCTCAATGTGCTTTTGAAGTTCAGATCTTATTCGAATTTCAAACGCATCGTGAAGAAAAAGACGAACTACCAAGAAAAATTAGTCCAACAGGACTACTTCTTTTTTACAATATAATCACATTTAGAAAATGTGTTTAATGTGGAAAAACGAATTTTAGAGCATGCGATGAAATGAAATCTACCAAAAAAACGCGAACTATGATGTTTCGGGGAAAAAGAAATGATGCACTGCGGTATAACGCGTTCTTAGCAGTTCACAAAAACCGTTTTGTAATTCAACCCC